TTAACCCATTGTTAGTCCAGTCTACCTCGGAAGCTAAGGTACGGAATTCAATAGCATAATCCGAGATAGACCGGTTACCTTGTCTGATGTGCATTAGGGCAGTGGAGGCGTCATCCTCTCTACCCAATGGCTCAAACGTGAGCTTGAATTCGGCAAGGAATTCCTGGTAATTATGAGCTATGCTCCGATTACTCTCCCACAACGGATTAGCCCAGGCAAGGGCCTTGCCCTTTAATTGATTCATTAGATAACCAATTCTTGCTCTGTCCGTGGGGAATGACCCTGGTGAGGCCTCAAAATGGTACTCCACCTGATTAAGAAAACCCCTGCATTCCTGGATATTGCCATCAAACTGTAGGGATGGTGATAAGGAGATGCAAGGAGTCCTATTAACAGTGGGTGGAGGTACACAGGGTAGAGGTGCTATAGGAGGAGACGCTGCAGGCTGCAGATGCTCCGTTCTAGCGAGAAGCGTACTTAAAGCCTGAGTGAATTGATCCATGCGGTGATCATTCTCCTCTAATTTCCTCTCGCAAGCAGCTATGTGCTGACACAGTTCTACAGGATCTATGGCCATGTCGTAATGTCAGGATTACTGTTTGATCCAGCACGTAGAACTGTACAGCACGGATGACAAATAAGTAACGTATTACCGGTCCTTAGAATGGCCGGATTTAACGTACAAAGAATAGTCAAAAATACTAGCCGAGGTTAGGGAACACAGAAAGGGACACAGCGATGAGGAAGGCCAGGAGTCAGGATACCAGAATATAGAGAAGTCAATAAACAAAAGCCAAAGTCAAAAACCAGGTAGAAAACTATAAACAGGAACGCGCTCTCAGACAACCACAAGGGAAACCACAACAGGGCACTGAGCAGGCTGAGAACTGGGCCCAGTGGCGTCTCTAGGATTCATTTTTCGGGGGGGGACATGGAGGGCCAGTGACAAAAGTAGGGGGGCACATTTAACCCCGCCCTCGCCGCAGTTTGACCCCGCCCCTGTCACATGTTAAGCCACGCCCCCGACACAATGTGTTTTGTTTTTTTAATAATACCTGGTGGAGGAATCATGATTTTCCACCAGGGATTATTAAAAAAACAAACACATTATCCTTGATACAGTGCCATAGTTGCCAACATTTGAAAAAAAAATTTCCAAGGACATTTTGCAGCACAGCTATCAATTACTGTCTGGGTATAATATCCCTGGACAGTCAGTGCTCTCTGTATAATACAGGGTTGTGTGTATAATAAATTGGGACACTCAGTGCTCCCTGTATAGTGCTGCTCTCTGTATAATCCCAAGACAGAGAGCAGCACTATACAGGAAGCACTGACTATCCCGGGATATTTTATACACACAGATCTGTATTATACAGATAGCTGAGCATATACCCCAATCTCTAGACTACTTGTACCTGTCAACAGCAGCTCCCAGACGCGTGTAACAGGGCTAAAGTGTGCGGCAGCTCACACAGGTTATTCAGCGGTAAAGTGCACTCGCTGGCAGAGCCAAACTGGGAATCCCTGGGAATCCAAAGCAGCCCTGGAAAAAAAGTGTATGCCATTCCTACAAGTCAAAATGACACACACATGCTCACTAAATAGAAGCTCACTGACACACACAAGCAGTACCATTTTAACAGAGTTAAGGGCCCCTGGGCAAAGCAATACACTGGGGCCCTTCCTATACAACAACTCACAGGAATTTTAATTATTGACTGCGGAGTCCATACACACACAGACTGCGGAGTCCATACACACACACAGACTGCTGAGTCCATACACACACACACACACAGACTGCTGAGTCCATACACACACACAAACACAGACTGCTAAGTCCATACACACACAAACACACAGACTCTGCTGAGTCCATACACACACACGCACACAGATTGCTGAGTCCATACACACACACAGACTCTGCTGAGTCCATACACACACACACACACACTCTGCTGAGTCCATACACAAACACAGACTGCTGAGTCCATACACACAGAGACTCTGCTGAGTCCGTACATACACAGGCTGCTGAGTCCGTACACACACAGACTGCTGAGTCCATACACACACACAGACTGCTGAGTCCACACACACACACACACACACACTCTGCTGAGTCCATACACACAAACACACACACAGACTCTGCTGAGTCCATACACACACACACACACAGACTCTGCTGAGTCCATACACACACACAGACTCTGCTGAGTCCGCATTAATACACCGACACTGCTGAGTCCATACACACACACACACACACACTCTGTGCTGAGTCCATACACACATACACACACACAGACTGCCAGTTCATACACACACAAACACACAGACTCTGCTGAGTCCATACACACACACAGATCAGCTGAGTTCACACACACAGACTGTTGAGTCCACACACACACACAAAGACTGCTGAGTACACAAACACATCTCTGCTGAGTCCACACACACACAGACTGTTGAGTCTGATACACACACACAGACTGCTGAGTCCATACACACAGACTCTGCTGAGTCCGTACACACACACACAGACTCTGCTGAGTCCGTACACACACACACAGACTCTGCCGAGTCCGTACACACACAGGCTCTGCTGAGTCCGTACACACACACAGGCTCTGCTGAGTCCGTACACACACACAGACTCTGCTGAGTCCGTACACACAGACTCTGCTGAGTCCGTACACACAGACTCTGCTGAGTCCGTACACACATACAGACTCTGCTGAGTCCGTACACACATACAGACTCTGCTGAGTCCGTACACACATACAGACTCTGCTGAGTCCGTACACACATACAGACTCTGCTGAGTCCGTACACACACACAGACTGCTGAGTCTATACACACACACACACAGACTGCTGAGTCCATACACACATATACACACACACACAGACTGCTGAGTCCATGCACACACAGACTGCCGAGTCAATACACACACACACGCAGACTGCTGAGTCCATACACACACAAACTGCTGAGTCCATACACACACACACACACACACACAGACTGCTGAGTCCATACACACACACACACACACACACAGACTGCTGAGTCCATACACTCACACTGCTGAGCCCATACACACACACACACACAGACTGCTGAGTCCATACACACACACAGACTGCTGAGTCCATACAGTGTGTGTGTATGGGGATAGTGTATGTGTGTAGAGTGTATGTGTATGGGGGGGGCAGAGTGTGTGTATGGGGGCAGAGTGTGTGTATGGGGGCAGTGTGTGGGGCAGTGTGTGTGTATGGGGGCAGTATGGGGGACAGTGTGTGTGTATGGGAGGCTGTATGGGGGGCAGTGTGTGTGTATGGGGGGCAGTATGGGGGTCAATGTGTGTTTATGGGGGGCAATGTGTGTGTATGGGGGGGCAGTATGGGGGACAGTGTGTGTGTATGGGAGGCTGTATGTGGGGCAGTGTGTGTGTATGGGAGGCTGTATGGGGGCAATGTGTGTGTGTACACCTCCCCCCCCAGCCTACCTGTCACCTGTGGGGGTCAGGCAGCCATCTTCAGCAGCAGCATGGGCTGCTGCATAACGGCGGGGGCGGGGCTTATCGGCGGGGCTTCATTTGGGGGCGGAGCCTGTGCCGGGGAGCCAATCAGTGCTCCCTCCAGCCACAGACAGCCTCCAGCACCTCAGCACTGCATTCCCTCGGGCTGTAACAGTCCGAGGGAAGCAGATGGCCAGCTAGTTGCCAGCATTTGGGGGGCCCAAGGGGGGGCACAGCATCATGTAGGGGGGGGGCCATGGCCCCCTCTGGCCCCCCCCTAGCGACGCCACTGACTGGGCCTAAATACCCCTCCTTTAGTTCTGATAGGCTGTAACCGGCCTTTGACCCCAAAGTCAGTTACCAGGTTCCATTTGCATAATTGCTGCTCAGCATTAACCCTTCTGTGGATTTGGTTGCTGCTCGGCACAACTTTTCCTGTGTGGACAGTAAATGTCATTAATCACTTTTCTCTAAGCGGATGAATACATGACACCAGGTTTCATTTGCACAATTACTGCTCAGCATTAACCCTTCTGTGGATTAGGTTGCTGCTCGGCACAACTTTTCCTGTGTGGACAGTAAATGTCATTAACCACATTTCTATAAGCGGATGAATATGTGACAAAGATAAAGCCAGGGACTAATGAAAGCATTTAGAAAATTGGGCAGACTAGATGGTCCGAATGGTTCTTATCTTCCGTCACATTCTATGTTATGTAGAAGAGGCAGAGTGAACAGAAACCTGGCTAACTGATGCAGACGTTGCACTGAATGTGCAAAGACATGGGAAGGGTTTTAACATGGAATGTAGCTCAGGGATTGTGACGTCCCCAACCTGTGCTCTGAGGTCACAATTCAATGTCACTACCATGTAGGTCTGCAGTTTACAGAATCCCAAAAAGTCAATAATAAAGAAATGTTTGAGTAAATCCAATACTTCTCCTGGAACAGATACTATCTACAACGGTCCAAGCTTTTACTATAGAAGAAATTCTTTATTTTCTTCACAAAGTACTAATTGCGTATTTTAAATCAAGTTTCATACACTCAGGGATATTCACTAAAGTGAGAATTTCCCCCTCTAGAAATCTATTCAACACTCTGATATATCACAAATTCAGATTTCTACAAATATAATGAAAGAGATACTGTAAGTGCCAGGAATACATGGCTGTATTCCTGGCACTATCGCTACCTCTGCCCCCCCCATCTTGTGCGCCCTCCTCCACGGTGAATAGAGGGTTAAAAACCCTTTATTTAATTACCATATCCCAGTGCTGATGTTGATTAATGCTAGGTCACTGCTCTGCCTCCTCCTTCGTCACGCGATGAGCGGGCGCTAATGCGCATGCAGGGCACATGCTGCACATGCATTAGACCTCCCTATTGGAAAGCATTGAATCAGTGCTTTCCTATGGGGAAAATCTGATGCTGGATATCCTGTTAGACAGCCACTGAAGTCAGACTTAGTGCTGCAATGTAAACATTGCAGTTTTTTTCTCTGGAACTACAATGTTTAACATTGCAGCACTAAGTGCAATAGGGACGCAGCACATAGACCACTTCAATAAGCAGAAGTGGTCTGGGTGAGTATAGTGTGCCTTAAATGCCTTTCATTCATGTAAATATCTCTAGATTTAAGCTTGTTCCACCAGGTATTACAAGACATCTAGAAAAGAGAGAGATTGAAACCAGTCCTAGCAAACTGAAACAGATTCAGTGTTGAATGAGATGAGTCTGAACAAAGGAGAGAGTTTGTGATGTCATCTGCCTATCAGTACTGAGCAATGATGTCACAACTCAATTATATCTGCAAGGTTGCTTAATCAGAAAACCAAGCATGTTCAAAATAAATATGAAGGGCACAATATGGGGAAAATAAGGCGGGTCCAAATACATTATACTACTGTGTCTATATATATTGTATTTATTATTGCAGAGGACTTTTCAGATATTTTCTGTGCAGTACTCATGGCAGCACCTGGAAATTCTATAGATTTGCGGTAATTTCAAGAGATTTATTTATTTAGAAAGCAAGCAACATGTTATAATCTCCCTTTCAAACAGTACAGCAAAAAGACAATCAAATGACCATACTAAATGTAAACTATACCTTAATGTAGGTCGGTGCCACGGGGCCTTCTAGCACCATAACAACTTCATTGACGCTGCAAGGAGTGTTCCTTTCAGAACAGATTTACATTGACAGTGCCGGGTACCTTCTTGCACCAAAACAACTTAATTTTAATTAAGTTGTTACGGTGCTAGGATTGTCCCTTACTGAATAGGTTTACAATATCAGATACATAGAGCATCATAAATTATTTGTGCGGTTCCAATTTTGCACAGAAAAGACATACCTAAACTGAATAAACGCCATAGCTTCCATTTGCTACATGTTTTGTCCTATGAAAATAAATGAGTAAAACATAAATTGCAACAGCCTCACCCACACAAGAGAAATAGAAATTTTAAAAAATATATATAAAATGACAAGAAAATCAGTTCATTAAATGCTAAGTATCACTTCTCTGAAAATAACACCATTGAATAAAACATCAAAAAGCACCTGTAACCTTATAACATCTGACAATTTAAAGAGCCCAGGTTCCAAAGGCTATGAACTTGGTTAAACCCTGGTTATGCACATTGACGCAATAATATGCATATATTTGCATATTTTGCGAAATTCATGTAGAGTGCTCCAGGATTTGGATGTTATATGTTTTCTGATCCCCTGTGTTACAGTAACATATTCTGTTGTATGTAATTGTTGTCTGTATGTTTTATTATGTGTTTATATACTTTACAAATAACATTTGGAACCTGGGATATACCAGAATGCCCCTAGAGGCTCTTTCAGAAGTGGACCTGTCTGTAGGTGGCCTAAAAGACTTTGGACGTCTTTGCACTCTGCATGAGGACATCCAGCGCCAGTGAAATTCTCATAGGAAAGCATTGAGATAAGGAAGGGGTGACCAGAGAGCACTGTTGTATTAGGAATCCTGATTTCTATTCCTAAAACTGTAGAATCCCTATAATTGATTCTACCTGATTTTCCACACTGTTTCGTCACAGTGAAAGCATACTCTATGATTTGCCTTTGGTGTATTATTATTTTGTCACAATGATGAATGGCCTGTAATGTGCCTTTTGTGTATTAGTATGTCGTCACGGTGATGTAATCTATGTAAGTTAACTGGCCCTGTCTATAAAACTCTGTGCTGTTTCTTTGAATATACGGTAGTTACATTGTATTGCCATTGCTCCTGTGAAGTTACCTGCCTTATTTAACCCTGTGAAGCAGCCTGCTTTGCTGTTCTACAGTAATAAAACCACCATTAGCACAGAGGAAGCAAGCCTGGTCTATTATTTCCAGAAATTTTAACTGAAATACTATTCACTAGATGACGAAGGTGTTTTGGCACCTAAGTACCCCAACATCCCAATTTTGTATGATCCCTATTCCAATATATGTAACTGTGTGGATTTCTACACTTCATTTTTTGTTTCCCTCTCATATGGAGATCGCACACAAGATGGTGCCGATGGTACTTAGTGCCTGATAAACTACCACGCATGTTAGTAATGTGTATTGTCGATGCAACTTGGAGCTGTGACTTGTGGACTTGTTGTCAGGATTGCTAGTTGATCCAGCACACAGAACTGTATCACACCTAGGACTAAAGGTAACGTCTTACCGGGCCTTAGAATGACCGGAGTTAATGTACCAGAGAATAGTCAGAGTACTTGCCGAGGTCAGGGACACAGAATGAGACACAACGATGAGGGAAAGCCAAAAGTCAAGGATACCAGAAATCAGGGAAGTCAAAACAAAGCCAAAGTTAATAACCAGAAATAAACGCACAGGAAGACACTCTCAGACAACCACTAAGGGAAACCACGACAGGGCAATGAGGAAAGGCAAGAAAGGAGTTTAAGTAAGTCTCCTTTAAATCCGATTGGCCATACCAGTTCTATAACCCCAGAACGTGCGTGCACATCCTTTGCGTGACGTCACACGCACGTTGATATCGTCAATAACGTGGGCGGACGTGGGTCTACAAATTGATATGGAACCGCAGCGGCCAGCTTCTTTTAACATGTAGCAGGAGCCAGATACACTGGCACAGGGCCGCCGACCAGCATTTTCACCAATGCTAAGAAGGTAGTTATTCTCACGGACACCACAAGGTGAGGATGAACATGTGACACTTGTCCACTAATGGTGCAGTTCTGGGAATCCGTAGCAGAGATATTGAGAGATAACGGGGCATTCACATACAATCAGCCATTGAGCTCTTCCTGTTATATATTCTCCCAGAAGGCCTTCCAAAAACGGTCAACAAACTTATCTTCCAAACATTGACAGCAGACATCTTGCTACTATCAAGGAAGTTAAAATCGCCTTCTCTGCCCTCAACATCAGAAATCTTAACTCAAATCACAACTAACATGGAATATTAATGGCTCTTCCCATAGGAAAGGCAACTCGAGAGGCAGGCCACCACTGAATCATTTTATAAAAAAACAACAATTTTTTTTTAAAAAGTGCAATTAAAAAATGCTTCTGTATATCTATGAAACTAGGTTGTCCGGGACAGCACAAGTCAATAAAGGGTTCACACTCCGAGAAAGGAAAGAGAGATCAACTAGGCTACAACACCCAGATACCCAGAAACACACTAAGGGGTAAACATGGGATCCTTGCAAAACCAGCAGGAAAACTTGTTATTTGGTTATTTTTATGTTAGATATCCTTTGTCATTTGTTTTTTATTCTTGATACAAGTGAGAAAAAACATAAATGGAGGATGTACATGTGCAGTATTGGATGCATGCAGCGTTGATGGATTTTCCAAATCACCTATTTGAGTCAGGCTTTGGGTGCCAGGAGGGCCCTATTTTTGTAAAACCACTTAAAAGGAGGAAAGTGACCAGGTAGGATGCTTCCTTTTTGCTTTCTAGTTAACATTCCCCGTTAGGTCCCTTTACATTACACCCTAGTTTAGGCAGTCAGTCACTAGCAACAGAGAACCACCTACCTTATTCTCACCCATCTGTAACCACAGTCCATGTCGTGTAAACAATTACATTTGTCTTATTGAGATAGTTCTACAAATACCACACACAACTGAGTTAATGTTAAAAACAGAAGAATATTCAAGTAGAAAAGCACCAACCGTGTCCGCACTTAATAAATATTTATTGTTTTCCTCAAACTGGTTACCCCTGGGACTATCCATGGCAAACACACCATTTATTTCCCTCTCTCTAATGCCTACAATCAATCAGGGTTTAAGTAACCTCTTCCAAGTGCCTGTGACAGATTGAACTCATAATCAATACCTTTACTGGTATTTAGAAGCTGAATTCACAATTCGTTATTTATATAACCTGATGCCTGGTACTGCTCAGATAGATATAGTTAAAATTAAAAGTAACAAAAATGAGAAGGAACAAATCGAGATCTTTAAAGGGTTACTCCAGCCTCGATGACAACTTCTGCTTTTAGAAATGGTCATGGAATAAGGAGTGTGTTTGTTCAGAGATTCGGCTTGAAAAGCTGCACATACAAAGATATCTGCATTTTTGTGAATGTACCCTCCCTCCCTTCCGCATTACAGTTGTTCAAAGCCCACCCTGCCTACCTACACAGGGCCAGCTCTTGGCAGGTGAAGAAGGTGCATTACACCTGGCTCTGCTCTTCAACCAGCCCTGCACCAATCAAATGGGGCACCCCACAACCCAGCATCAGAGACATACTGTCTCTGGTGCCGGCATACTGGCTGGTCAGCTGCTATCGGGGGACGTAGGCAGTTTGTGATCTGTACCTCCAACAGATGCACGCAGTAGCAATCACTCCCTGTAATGGTTACCATGACAACATTCTGATTCCTTACTGACCGCCAGCCTGGGGGGGTTTTACTCGGGGTCTGCACCTGCCAGGGGTGCAAATCAAATAATTAGCCCACTGGCCTCTCGACCACCGGGGATCAGCTTTCCCCTCTCCCTGACCTAGTTAAGCAAAAGGATGGGGTGAATACAATTCTATCCCCCCCACAGTTAAACCACTATGCCCCACAATTAATGTCCCCATATAGTGTAATCCCTATTCCTCACACTAAAGCCCACATCCCCCCACAATTACACTATACTGTAACTGTGCCCACAATGCAGCCTCAACCTCCCCACAACACTGCCCCTATCCCTCACACTAAAGCTCCTATCCCCCTAAATGCTGCACCTATCCCCCCACAATACAACCCATACACACACCCCAAACTACAGCCTTTATTTCCCATATCCCACATACAGTACAGCCCTCATCCTGCATTATACAGTACAACCCCTCATTACTCTGTCCCCCACAAACAATCATTATAGCTCTTATCCCCCTCTACACTATCTCTCCTTCACACACACTACAGTCCCTACCCAACAAAAACACACATTACAGTCCCTACCTTGCACACACTATAGTCCTTTTCCTGTCACATGCACATACACTATAGCCCCAATTAATCCATCCAC